TGTGTGTGTGTGTGTGTGTGTGTGTGTCCTTAGGTTCCTGGGAACTTTCATGTGTCAACACACAGTGCCACAGCGCAGCCCCAAAACCCTGACATGACTCACACTATCCACAAGCTGGCCTTTGGAGAGAATTTACAAGTGAGGACACAAGTCACAAAACAGTTAAAGAAGATATGACGTGTGTTGAAACTGGGTTTTATTTATTTTCTTTCTCAAGGTACAAAAAGTCCAAGGAGCTTTTAACGCTTTAGGAGGTGCAAACAGATTATCATCCAATCGTAAGTACTCACACTGAGCGTGTCATCCTAAACACTTTTAGAACATTTCTATCAGTTTCTTCCTTTTTTTATTGTCGTTGTAGCKCTGGCCTCACACGACTACATCTTGAAGATCGTGCCCACCGTGTATGAAGACCTGTCGGGCAAACAAAGGTTCTCCTACCAGTATACAGTAGCCAACAAGGTTTTGTATCTTTGTTTTTCCTTGCATTACCTCATACCTTTGAGTCATTTGTTTGTTGTGGTTTWTTTGTTTGTTGGTTTTCCCCCCACTCTTCACACAAACACAGCGTGACCGCTCCAACAWACGGCCTGAGTATTCGCTGCATTAATGTTCACCCACACCTGGAAGTGAAATTTAACCCATAAGGGCTGGAAACATCCTCAAGATGTCAACAAGTCATAAAGACGATTCCCAGAACTGTGCTGACTAAAAACTGGTTGTGACCACAGGTCAGCCATGAAGCACAAAGATGCGGGCCTGAGCAACAGTTTCCTTCAGCTAGTTCCAAAACATAAATAACCGCCTTTGTTGTGTCAATTTCTGTTCAAATTTATTGAGTGGGTTAATCTAGGTTTAGATTATTTTATCTAAATATACTGATAACTAGCTTCCTTGAGCTTACTTGCCGTTTCGAGCTTAACTTTTCCCAAATTCATTGAGTGACTTTGAACAAAACCAGACCTGCAGTGACTCAAACATTACTCCACTAATCACAGATAAATGTGTCATCATCACAGTAAATAACTTGCTTTATAAGCGTGTAACGCTCTGTACCCCTCCCCTCCCCTCTGTGTACAGGAGTATGTTGCTTACAGCCACACAGGCAGGATTATTCCAGCCATCTGGTTCAGGTACGACCTCAGTCCAATCACAGTCAAATACACGGAGAGACGGCAGCCCTTCTATCGCTTCATCACAACGGTGGGTTACTAATTCTGCTGCTCTGCTAAGGGGTTTAACGCTCAAAACATAATGTCTACTGGCAAACTTTAGAGAAGAAAATTCAAAGTAATGCTTTACCTTCAAGCTTCTTTAAAGTGCCTGTGACCTGAAATTTGTTAAAAAAATATAAAGGCATTTTTTTGAAGATAACATTAATAACACATTGCAAAAATAATTTCCCACTGCTGAGATGAACAGTTGTTGAGATATTTGCTTGTGAAGTAACAGGAAGTGATGTCAAAGAGGAACGTCTGCATGGAACAGAGCATTGATAAAATGGCTAAGGACACGGACTGTAGAGAAGAATCTGATTTTTTCTTCAGATTATCTTGAGTCACCATCAGAAAGAGATGAAGACGAGTCAGAGTTCAAATAATGTTGTGTAAAATGTAGTTATTTTTAGCAGACTGGTGCAGCTCTGCCCAGCTTTACTTCTGACGGATTCAGCCTCTCTAATCTAAAATGCTCTTTTTATACCCAGCCTTCTAACAACTTACCCTATTTAGTTCCAAAAAATACTCCTTTGGCTGTTTTTTAACCTCTTTGTTTCATACTGTCCTCATTCCCCACTTTATTTTAGGTATGTCGTCATCCAAAACAAAATTACCTATTTTTTCCCTAAAAATGGTGCATTTTTTAGTTTGATATGTTGACTGTGTTCCACTTAGTATAAAATTGGTTTAAGAGATTTGCGTATGTCATTTACTTTTTAAAAAAATGTCCAAATGTCAGATATTTGAGCATGCTTGCAATGCTAATTGTTTCAGTATTTTTAGCCAAGTTAGCATCTGTCAGGYAGCTTATCCCTCTACTTTAAATGCTTTAAAGTCTTTGATGGACTGCTGTGGCTTTCCTTGAACTCTAAAATTCCATTAAACGTCAGGTGATATTTACTTTTATTTTATTGTTCAGTTAAAATTGTTTGTAGCCTACAGTGACGTTAGCATTTTGGTGACATTAGCTTTAGAGTTGATGCTAACGTGGCTGTGAACTCAAGTTAAATCATTTTGTCTAAGGTCTGTAATGTCTGTTTTTCTGTARATGGTTCTTGTAAACAAACATTTTAGAGTGAACATATGAAACACTTAAAAAAAATCTAAATATTGTTTAAACATGTTTTTTAGCACCAATAGCAAACAAAGTTAGCATCCATGCTATAGTTTGCTGCTAAACTTCTAAATATTTTTAAAATTAAAAGAAAAGTCTTGTAGAGATTTTATGTTTTGTAAATAAAAGTAAACTCCAKGTTAATGCGCTATGTGGGCAGATTGTGTAAAAAAAACATGAATAGAGGTTAATAAAACAAGGTACGAAATTGTGTTTTTGTGTAATTTCACAATGTGTCTGAAGACAAAATGGACTGTGTGTATTTCAGGATAACTTCTGCCTTTTAAGCAAGCTAATGGCAGCAGAGTATTGATCGTGTCTCTTGGCGGTAAAGAGAACTCTTACCAAACTTCTCCTCTCCTCCTCCTCAGCCTGTCAGCTGAGTAATGTTGCCTCAGCTTGTTCCCTCATCAGAAAGGCTTCCTGCTGATTAAAAAATATGCCCCAGAGGTAAATCAGCTGCCTGGCTGATGAGCCGCACCAGTCTTTGTCTTTTGTGTTGCTTTGGTTCAACATGCAGGAAGCTTGAGACATGAGTGGTCTTATTGTGTTATTATTAGTCACTGCTAAGGATTGTGTGAGTCAAGAGTTTGGTTCCAGCTCATTCCTGAGTGTGAGCGTAATGATCAAATGTATTCATTAAACCAAAGAAAATAAATCAAAAGCTTTCAAATCGTACCTCTGACAGGTTGGTGTGTTTTTTTTTATTGTAGATTTGTGCCATCGTTGGAGGGACGTTCACAGTGGCAGGAATCATCGACTCCTGTATATTTACTGCCTCGGAGGCCTGGAAGAAGATCCAGATAGGAAAGATGTCATGAGGACTGCCTCCTGGTTGGTTTGTCTATTTATAAAAGCGAGGTTTGCTAGCCTGATAGCTAAATCCAGTCCTGAATGAAAACAAACTTCTCATTGAGTTTGACGAGGAGCCTCCAGCACGAGATCTAACTACCAGGCTGCGCATCTTTTTTTTTTTTTTTTTAACTGAAGGTCCTCTCCGGCTCCATCTGCTCTGCTGACGCGTGGTCGCTGACTAAACACGTCTGCTTCCTCCATCATCGGTGTCAGGAGAGGAGAGGGAATCTCTTGTTACTGAAAGAATTGATTTTCTTTGTTTTTTAAGAACTGGGTGCCAGGAACTCACCAGTCTGGAAGGCGGCATTCTTTACAATGAAGTTCATGTTTATAGAATATTAAGGGTTTGATTTGATGCTACCACTTAGTTTTGTACAGAACATTACTTTATGTTCAGTTCCAGGAATACTTTTCACTTACCTAATTCTCAACAAATGGCATCGATTAATTCAGTGTAAAAAAAAACGTTCTCCAACGGGTTCGTTTTCTTGGTCTTTTTATACCAAATACTTCATCAGAACAGTTAAATCCCACCAGCTTGGACTCTTTCTGGTTTATTTCAGTGATTTGGGGGAGAGAATTAAATTACACTATGATTTGATTCAGTTCCTTTAGATCTTGTACGGCCCATCTCAGAAGTTCAAAAGGTATGTCCAAACAATTTTTATTTTAAATGTAGTGGGGACACTAACCCCTTCACAAAAAATGATCATGACAGCTATGGGCCTTTTGTCCTCTTCTCTAAAAACGTCAAAAATACATCTTTAATTTGAAGGGGTACATTTAAAAACATTTACAAAGAATGTTAAAACCACCCCCTTTTCTAAATATTTAAAAAAATATTTTATTTGCTTGTTGATGTGTACTTTTGAGAACAAAAACCCTAATTACAAATACCCAAAACTGGAAATAAAAAGACTAAAAATGAGTGTGAGTAGTCAACTATGGATAAGAGTCATACTCCAAGAACAAACACGTCACAATCCACCAGTGTGGCACCTCTCAAAGACCTTCAGTGTACACAGAAGGAAATATTCATCCTAACAGATAATCAAGCTATTAGAGCTCTCAGAGGGCCACACTTTACATCCGTGTTGACTTGGGAGTGTGCCGAAGCAGTCAACCAACTGAGCAGAGATAACAGGGTTACAGGACATACTGGCATTAATGGTAATGAGAGAGCTGACTCTTGCATAAGCTGGCAGTCAGGCCCACTTCAAAGGACTGTTGTGGGTATTTCAACAACAGTCTGTAGGACAGCCCTACAGGTCTAGATTAGACGTCAACGCTCAAGCCGCTGGAAGGAATTGAAGCACTGCAAACAGGCACAGGAACTGATTAACGGCCCTAATCTAAGGTTTGGGAAAGCTCTCACCTCCTTGACAAGGAAAACTTTAAGCAAACTGGTTGGAGTTCTAACTGGGCACAACCTGTTCAACCACCAGATGACTGTGATGGGACTCCATGACAGCGGTCTGTGTGATGCCTGTGGCATTGACTTGGATACGTCTTTGCACTACTTGGACCACTGCCTGGCCCCTGTCAGTCAAATGAAAAGAATTCTTGGGGACCACTTTGTAGATCCTGAGTGTTTCTAACCTTGTGTGCATCTGAGGATGATTAAAACATCTTTGTGGGAAGAGCAATGAGCCCACTTCCTAGGCCTCCGCTCATATGGGTTCTTTATCCATCTCCATTCACCAAACCAGCACATCCTGCAGGAGTTCACATCAAAATACTCGTAACTTTTTCTGTTCAAGCCACTGTGGTCACAAGGTCTGAAGAACCCGGTTTCTCCATTTAAAAGTGTTCTTTTTTCTTTGTTGCATCAGTTTTTCTGACATAAGGGTACCAAAGTTATTAGTGCTGTGTAGCTTTTGAACAGTGTCACTTTGTGTCAACTTAACTAGGTTTTTCTTAGTTATGACTCACATTCAAAACGGAACAAAAACTTGCTTTCTGTGTGGAGCTCAGGTTGTAAAACACCTGTGAGCTGTGTGTCATCCTCCTTACGGAGTACCTTATCAAGGGTGGGTTTTTTTTCACAGAAACTGAAAATAAAAGCTGTAAAAGCGTGCTGCGTAAGAGTCGGACTTTGAACCCAGACCCTTCTCCTTTCAGCTGGCGGCCCGAGCCGGCGTTCTCTGCAGGCTGTTGTCTGAAGTGAGCATGCAGGACGGCTCGAAGCTGTCATCGCGCTTACGTCCACCTCTGATAAGAGGTGTTCGGTGTGACTCACACCTCCTACAGCCCTCTGTTTACCTTCGTCACTTGTTAGCCGTGCCGCAGCCATCTCTGTTAAAACGACACAGATGGCACAAAAACATTTCACCTTTGTTGGGCGAGGGGGGACGAATGTAAATATGTGCTTAGTAATCAGACATGAGAGGATAAATTCTTTATTTCTTCCTGTGTGAGTCTTAACTTGTACAAATAAAAAGAATACTCAATAAAAAGATAAAAAATATAAATGTATGTATAGAAAATACTCTGGGATCATGTTTTTGTCATAATACTGCCACCCAGTGGCTTGTTAGAGGAGCTTCAGTCTTTGATAGAGGAAGAATGAGTAAAAGCCAGCTTTCTTTGAATGATCCTAGAACCTGATAAATGAACCGAGAACCTTTGATCCCCGTCCCGAAACAATCAGCAGCTCTGCTCTTTGTTCTGGACGAGGCTACATGTTGGAGGAGGCGACGCAGGGGGTGTTGGGAGGGGAGTAGAAGTCGCAGAAGCCCCCCTCAGACAGGTGTCCGTACTCGTTGTTGTAGAAGGTCTGTCCTGACAGCTGGCTGAAGAAGCTGGGCCGGTGCCCGGAGCTGCCGGTTCTGGTGTTCAGACCCAGAGAGCAGGCGGGGCCCATGAGGGGCTCCGTGCTGCTGGTGCTGCTCATCCGACTGGGGGGCAGGAGACAAAACGGACACTTTTAGTGTTAATTCATATTTGTATAAAAACTAAATAACATGAAGTTATGTAGATCTGGGGATTTGGGAGAAACACCGAAACAAATTTAAAAGGTTTGACAYGTTTATGTTATGATTTTGCCATTATACAGAGTTCATAAACAGTTCTGAGCTTAACCAACAAAAAAAGATTCAGCTCACTAATTTGAGGTAGTTTTAAAGGGATAGTTTGGTTTTTTCATGTGGATTTGCTAAAACCRCAAGAAACAGACTGTTTGGATAACTGTTTAAAGTGTCATAATTTGTATTAACTGCTGTAAAATTTTAGAGTGGTTTGAAGACATCTTTTAAACTTTTACAAAGTGGTCAATTTCACGTTTTACTGTTTTTCCTTAGATTTTTATGGTTATTTGCAAGAGTATACATCAGCAAGYAAGAGCACTTCAGAGGGTCCAGTGGCACCGGTGCATGGCAGCCCCGCCTCTGTCAGTGCGCCCCAGGGCAGCTGTGTATGAATGGGTGAATGCCTGAAGTGTAAAGCGCCTTGGGATTCAAGTGGATTTGATAAGGCCATTTATCATTTACTTCCTGCATACATAAGAAGATGACTCCTCTYAAATGGAGCAAAGGGTTTGCTGGTAGGAGGACGGACCAGTCAGACCAGTCTACTAAATTTATTCATGACATTCAAACGTTGGTGGTGAGTTTGCACCGATAATGTGGTTTAGTTGCTGGATTGGAGCCAGGCATTCGGGTGGTGACACAAAAAAATGGGAGAAAACTCTGATTATCTTAATAGGGATTTGTAGCAACTATCCACTCTTTTTACCCACTTTTACTTTCCAAGTTGTGAAGTTGCTGCTGGTTGTCTTCAGCTGAAGATGTTACTGCTATGTAGAGTTACCAATGAATCTAACATGCATAGTTTTGGTCTGTAGGAGGAAATTGGCGTAGTTGTAGAAAACCCATGCACGCACAGGGAGAACGTAAACTCCATCCAGCAAGGCCCCAGAYGAGGAAACAGTCCTCGTACRAAGCAAAGTGAAGGACAAGGGTCTGGTTTTTACCAGKTTAAGTCAATGGTAATGGTAAATATTATACCGTTATTTAACCAGGCAAATCCCATTGAGATCACCGATCGCTTTTGCAAGGGTGACCAATGTCTGAAGGCAAACTACTGCACATGTTTTGTTCTGTGGGGGAAACCGAAGTACCCGGAGAAAACCCACACAAGCACAAGGAGAACATGCAAACTCCTCACAGAAAGACCCCCGGTCCGAATCGGGGATTGAACCCAGGACCATTTAGACCGAGGCGTGGTACTGGCCAAAGTAGTCTTAAAGGCGCAGTGTGTAGGATTTGTTGTTTTCAGCGACATCTAGTGGTTGACTGGTTGAMTCTTCCTCCCTCAATTTCGGCTAAAAGAATTGACAAAATCCTACACACTGTGCCTTTAATCGGCACTGTCATGTGATTCTTGGTCGGAGAAAGCGGCCATATTGTTCAGAGCGAGGACAACTCAACAGATATGATCGTTAGCTTGCGAAGCTGAATGTGGTAACCATGACCGATGAATTTCAGTTTCCAACTGACAACCATTATTTTTGATTCGAGAGAAATGCTTGTCAGTAAATATTAGACAAAAACCTGCTGTCAAGTTGCACCCGTCTGCAATGAATGCTGTTTCTAAAAGGCAGAAGCTAACCAATGAAAAACTAATAKTTRRRTACAACTCTAACAGAAATCTAGCCCTGATATGTTGACAGCAAGTCTCAGGATCTCGTTCCCATGTCGCAGGAATTTTGAACAACTCCAAAACTTGTGTAGCAAATCTCTCAAAATAATCACTCAGTCGTCGCCGGCATCTCAAACCTGTCTCAATTTAGTTTCCGTCATCTTCGAGTGCTGGAGCTTTTTTTCCCCTATAGATATGTATGTAAATTACTAGCATTTTTTTTTACTGAGATTCTAACTCAAAAATTGGTCATTTTCCTCTTAATTTTGTGTTCCCAACTAATCCCCAGCCCTCTCAGCCCAAACATCATCAACATACATCACTGATCTCATCTGTATCATTCAGAATATTTTTTTGTAAACATTTGACCTGGTTGTGCTGTTTTTGTACCGTAGAATCTGTTTAAGGCTGCATACTTTTATTTGGTGTGAATTCTAGGTGGTTTAGTGAAATCCAGTTCTCCAAACTGAGCTAAAACTGGGGCCTTGGCTTTAAATGACTCACTCCCTCGTCTGCTTACTCATGCAGACCGAGACTCTGCTGATGCTCACTTCCTTCGCAGATCTAGTTTCGGTACCCAGAAAACCAGAGGGTGACTGTTCTCCAGTTTCCAAGCAAAGTAAGAATGTTTTTCTCGCTTTGAGCGAGGCGCGTGCAGAGTACGTGGATGCTGTGAGAGCACCGTTCGCTAATGGAACTGAAAATGGCGTCAGCGTGTTCCTCCCGGTGAGTCACGTTTACCGGGTCTGGATGTCAAATAACTCGGCTGCAACATGAATCGTAGCTTTTACACGACAAACCTTTTTAGGATGGCGCCTCTGTGGCTGTGCTCGATTCTCTCGAATTCCTCGGAGGCCAGAACCATCCCGCTGTCCGTCTGGTTGTCCTGAGGGGAGACGCAGGTTGACTTCATGGAAATGAAGAGATWTTTAAGCACAAGCGGAGGATTTTTATTTATTTTTTGGTGATTATCAAAGGAAAAGAATCATCAAATGTTAAAAAAAAAAAAAACATTAACCAGAGTCACATTTTTTAACAAGCAAGGGGAGAATGAAATGTTCTTACTTGAGGGGTTTTTTGGGACTGAATCTCTAGCGGCAAATCGTCAAATGTCTTGACACCGGGTTGAGATGCTTTGAAGGGTCCAATGACCACACAGCCAGCAAACGGTACACAGTTATAATACCTGCTGAGGACAGGAGGAGGGGCTTATCAAATCTATCCTAAAGTCAATCAAATATTCATCAAATGTGCTTGATTAAAAGATTAATTAACTATTATTTTAGGAAGCCAAAGTAATTTTTATCGCTCATAGCTGAGAGGTTTTGTCTTTCTGTTAGCAAAATATCCCATGAACCAGAAGACAGATWTGAATGAAATTCTCAGAAAATATTCACTGGATAAGCAACGACCATCAATTCTTTTTACGAAATCAACCTAAATAAAGATGGCAGCCACAATACCAGTGATCATATAAACAGAGTACACAAAACACTTTCATTTTTCAAGATAAAAGGATCTTTGAACTCTGGTACGAAAGGCAGTAGAGTTTATTTGGATTCCTTCATGGAATGTTCGTCCTTTCTTTTTTCTCAAAATAGCATTCAGAACCACCGTCAGGCTGATATCTGAAAACAGAAACATGTACATTCATAGACTTAAGCCTACCTTATTGTTTGTCATTTTCTCATCTTATTTACCTCAAACATTTAAAAACAGGATTTTATTATTTTTTCTTTGTCTTCTGTTCTAACAGCAACAATCTGTGTTGTAGTTTTTAACTTGTGAGATGTAAATCAGGGAAAACCTTTGTAGCTTCACTGCCCACATGTTCATCAGCTCAGATGTTCCTCTTCAGAGATTTTAATGTGACATCACAGAGAGGAAGAAGAATAAGATCAGTAACAGTTTTATAAGATTTATGACCTTTTACAGATGAGATTAATTAATTAACTTGTTGAGTCAGGCCTAACTGTAAATCTAACGTGGATGAGACTCGTGATGAGAACACAAAGAGCTTCATGCACCAAAGCCTGAAAACCCCATCAGAGGGAAATAATGTTACGCATTTGTTGGTAAAAGAGTTTAGATGTTTCCAGTCCGGCTGAGATCACCTTTCCTCTACATAGAGCTTTTTTTTATACTTTGTTTTTAATCATCATAGAGTTTTATAAATCGTTTTATTCCAGCTCTTATCATTTTGACTAAAAAAATTAAATGGTTATTATTAAAAAGCCTTTTTTTATGTTGAAAAGATGCGAAGCCAGAATTTTAGATTAAGATCATGGGAGTGTCTTTAATGAAAAGTTTAGATTTGATGTAATTTTCCTGCCATTTCTGTCTGAATTTAGGTAAAATCATCAATCAGCTTGTGTTGAAAGTTTGCTCTTCTTGATTAGTTGAAATGTAAATTATTTAATCCACAGAAGAACATCACTTCCCAAGTTTCAGTCAAACTGCTGTGATCTCATCRGATGTAAAGATTTCTAAACTGAACCTTTGTTTGTCTTGAGGGGGAAAAGCCACTGATTCATATTTTGACTAAAGATTAAAGAGCACGTGTGTTTACATGGTAAATGTGCTTCTGAGAATCTGCCTAAACAAAACTTTACTGCTCAACAGTCTTTGCAAAATAAACTTCATATAATCAAATAAGAGGCTGAGCGTTCTTTAAAAAAATGCACATCACTTGCTGCCTTCAAAGCCAGAGTTTTAGATTAATATATTATTTTAAAAAATTGAAGTTAGTGTTTTAGTTAAAAAAAAACATGAATGATCACAAGGTTTGTGTTTTGTTGAGTTTTGTCATGCAGCAGAAGAAATGCATATTTAACCAGATGAATCTGTTCCTCCTCATCATCTCAGTTCAGGCAGTTTTTGGAGAGTATCCCCTGAAATCTGGGGGGTCTGATCACCCTAAACCAAGCTGTAAAACTGAGTTTAGTGTTTGCCAAGGTTGATTTGACATTTAGGCTAAACATGTCAGCATTTTAATCTAATAAAGTTCATTGGGCCTCATGCAAGAACTGTTCTTACGCACAGATTTGTTCTTAAATTGTGCGTACGAGTGATTTAGGAGAATTTGTGGCATTCACCAATGTTTTCGTATTCTAAGATTTTTTTCAGATACAAATAAAATTCACGAGTGGTCCAGACCTGTCGTATATTTTACGAGCAGTCAGTCTGCTGTTATCCAGACGGGTTTTCCTCCCTAATAACTTTATATTTCGTTAGCTTGAAGATATTTTGAGTTAAAAATAAATTACACTCCATAATTATGTTGACAATAGGCTATTCTGCTTGTATTAGAGTTATAATTTTAAATGTAATAATTTAGACTAACAATATAAATTGTCCGTCCGGCCGGCTTACCCGCTATCGGGTGCGGGGGGCAGCAGCAGAAAGACCCCGCTCTCCCCAGCGACACCTTCCAGCTCGTCCTGGGGGACTCCGAGACGTTTCCAGACCAGAGGGGATACATAATCCCTCCAGCGAGTCCTGGATTTTCTCCAAAGTGTCAGACTTATTTTTGAAAACATTTTAAAATGTTTATTTCAAACCCGCATCTGAGACCACCTGCGACGGCTCGCTGGGGGTGGGGTGGGGGGGTTACGGTGTGCAGCGCTGTGTCTTCTGAATAAATGAAAATGATTTAACACAGTTGTTTATACTTTTAGCAGCTCTTTTTATTCCACAGCTGACCTGCTAAAAATGACAGATTTTATTTTCTGGATCTCTGACAGACGGACTTCAATCTCTGAACTCGTAAAGTTTTTTTAGTTTTCACTGTCATTTTCATGAATGAACACTTGTATCTGAGGCAGGAAACACAGCCTTATATGGTGTTTTTGGGGTGGTAATTATGCTAATCTCCTCTCGCGTGCACRAGCAGCTGGATAGAACAGGTGGAAATTACGCAGCTCATTTACACACTTTTCCTGAAGATAGAAGAGTTTGTTGAATCTGACGTGACATGTTCGTACGAACCCTTTGTACGAACAAAAGTAAGAGAAATTTAGGATAAGAATATGAACATGTTCTTGCATGAGGCCCATTGTGTCTATAAAATCAATCTGCTACGTTTTCCTAATTACTAGACACTTTATTTTTAATTTTTTTGTGTGTCTATACAGACATACCTGGCATGTTTCGACGTGTACCGAAACATGTCAGGTATGTTTGTATAGACACAAAAAATAAAAATAAATTTGACTTGTCTTAATTTCCCATCAGCAGCAGAGATATGACCAAAAAAAGTTCTATGTGTTGTCAGTGTGTTCCCATAAATATGACAAAATGTGTTCTCTACATTTAACCCATCACATGAGAAACACCCTGGCCGAGCAACATTCAGGGAATTAAAAGCCTTGCTCAAGGACACCACTCTGCTCTACCCCTGTGCACTTCACTGCTGCTCCTGAAGCCCTCACAAATCTTTAGTTTTCTTTGTTGGACCTGTTTTCCAGTTTTTTGTTGGCTGATTTAAACGTTAACCTGCTAAATGTCTCAAATAGTAATGGAACCATATCTTGCACAGTTACACAGTTGTCACAAGCTGTGTTTTTAATTAAAATAGACCTTTTTTTTGTATCGAGCAGATACCTTGTGGGCAGGGTGTTGCAGGCCAGTCTCAGTTCTTCCTCAGATGGGGGTCGGGATGACGGCTGCGAGAAACCGTCATCTTCTGAGTTCTGTGAGTGGTTCAGTKGGGGGTGATCTTTCCCATCCTGCAGGGATGACAAACAATTTAATAATAATAATAATAAACAATTTGAGACAACATGACCTTCTTTTAGATGAACTCACAGGTAGGCTGTTGTCCTGCAGCAGGTCTGCCAGGATTTGAACCAGCGCAGGAAAGGTGGGCCTCTCTTTGGGCTCGCCATGCCAGCAGGCCAGCATGATGCCATATCTGCCAGCAGAGGGCAGCAAAGAGTCATGAAAATAAAAATACAAGGAGCAGCACATTTTTTTAAGGTGACCTCAAACTCTAATTATCAAAAGGTGGGAGTCAGCTGAACGGTATTAATGAGAAAAGCAGCTCCTGGAACTGAAGCCATGGACTGAAACAAATCTGAGGGGAAAAGAGCCGTTTCTCCTCAGAACCAGGAGGAAACGATAAAAAGAAATATTTACATTTCAGGGGACACGGTTTCTGGCGCTCTCATCCTGAAGCCATCTTTTAGCCGCTTGCAAAACTCTTCATCAATCTGCACTCCTGGGTACGGAGATGCACCTATGTGTGGAGACATTAATTTAAAACGTCAGCTGCAGGAAAACAAGGCTTTGTGTGTTTGGATAAAAAGGAAGGCTTTTTTTAAGAAGAAGAAGAATAAACTGAGCTATTTTAGTTGGAACAGATGCTCCTCAGAACCTCCTAGAGGAGTTTTGCATTGAARTGATTTGTGTTCTGATTTTTTTTTTCTTCAAATTACCAAGTGAAAATATTTCCCAGAGGAGGACTCCGAAGGACCACACATCACTCTGGCTGGTGTAGACTTTGTCAAAGATGCTCTCCGGAGCCATCCACTTTAAAGGCAGGCGAGCCTGTGCGAGCAGCCAAACAGCAGAGTGATGAACGGCGGCACGAGCAGAAACGATAAAACAAACAGGAAGAAGTTTTATTGTCTGCCTGCAGCAGATGGATAAATAAAAGAGGAAAGGGGAGCTTTGGAAGGGAGAGGGAGGAGGACGCACGTTGCCTTTCCTGACGTAGTCCGGGTCTTTGTAAATGTCTCGGGCCAAACCAAAGTCACAGATCTTCACGATGTTGTCCTCTGACAGGAGGATGTTACGAGCTGCCAGATCCCGGTGAATACACTGCACGCACACACACACACACAGTGAGGAAGACCGAGTGAATACACACAAGCTTTGAATTTTGGGGATATCTGTGTCATATCTATAGATAGAGTCGTGTGTGTGTGTGTGTGTGTGTGTGTGTGTGTGTGTGTGTGTGTGTGTGTGTGTGT